CCCCCCCCCCCCCAAAAAAAGCATTGGCTACCTGGCTTTTAGAAACTGATGCAAGGTTTAACATTGTCAAATCCCCCAAATCTGGACCATTCCATTGTAGCCGACAACCTTCAATCTCTTCTGTTCCATGAAATGATGCAGTTAGGTCAATTCTGATACAGTTAGGTCAACGCTTCTGACAGAGGGTTGACATGGCGGGGATGCGATCAAATCAACACATGGCCGCAGAAGACCTGATACTGACCCTGGTGTAAAGCAAGTATAGGTGGCCTGAATTACTCGTCTATTGCCAAGTGAAATATTTTTTAATGTATTTATCTCAGGGCTGGACAAATCCATGGTGCCATGTAACCAATTCTTACAAATGACAGCCGGTGCCCAACTTGGTTCTCTTTAGTTGTCAATGGAGCTGACCCCTAAAACAATCCTGCTGACCCCTGAATTGTCTAGACGGGCTCAAGAGTTCCCTATTTGTCCACCCTGATTTAGCTATGCGAGTGGAGTTCCCCTTTAATTGTGTGCAGGAGTATACCTTGCATGGTCTGTATTGGATATACACCAGCGGGATAATTCTGGTTTTGTGTCGGAGGTCCATTCAATGATGAGAAAATGGAATAATTGGAGGGTATGCCTGTAGTTGTAGCCGTGTGACTATGCAGACCCCTGTTCTAGATAGTAGTGGTTTTGATGGTGACTGTACAGTCAGTTTTTAACATTTATGGTCCTGTTTAGAATTCACAAACCGTTACCCCATAGAAAGTCTCCTGATATTCTGTACTCAATCCAGCCCCATTCAAAAGACCTTATTGTAGATTAAAGGAGGTTTCTTTTTAGCTTGCAAAAGGCTCAAATTCTTAATTGGTCTCCCCTTGGGGGAGATTTCTCCACTTCCTGTACCAGAGACAGCTTTTGAAGGGGTGCAGACACAGCAGTAAAAACTGTTGTTGTGTCTACATGTGTTTTTTTATACTGGTGTATACTAGCATAGTGGTGGGGTGAGGGGGGATGCACAGGGATTTACATTGCACGGGTTCAGCCATCAGTGTACATGAGCCCTTTAAAATGCTGGTAAGACTGGTGTAATTCCGCATTTGTAGACGCCGGCAGCTCACAGTGCTCTCCTCCCCCGCACCGCTCGGCCTCCTGTGACAGTTTCTCTCCTCCCCGCTGGATGCATGACAGAGCAGCGCCCCGCGGAGAGGAGAGAAACCAAGGATGCACTGCAATTTCGACCAAAAGTGCTATTTTCAGCGGCCAAAATTTTCGGCACATCCCTTATTGCACAGTACTGCACAATGCACCTACTGAGTGTTAACAGTGGGGGAGGGAGATGCATTGCCATTTATTTGAATGGCACCCCAAAAGCACCTCCCGTCTGCAATGTGCTTGACCGTGTTGCGGCTGGGAGGTGCATTTGGGGTGCCATTGGAATAAATAGCAATGCACCTACCGCAGGTTAATCACATGGCCTTGGTATGAATGTAATGCTGATTTACACACCTGGCACAATGTGTGAATTGGCTTTATTTATTTTTCTGGTGTTTTGGCTTTAAGAGAATTGTTTAAAAGTGCAAAGTTATATTCTAAAATAGTTCTAAGGTTGCTACCTGCAATGCTGCAATTTATCACGATTTGTAGAACAAAATCGCATGATTGAAGTTGTCTACTGAAGACAATGTGTGACTTGTACAATGAACTCTGACCAATCGCTTAAGCAGTGATATACACAAATCACAGCACTTTAAGTTGGAGTGCTATGTAATCACTGTTACGTGCTTCTAGCTTTCAGGCTCCTTCCTTATTGTCAGATATCAGTATTTGTTATTAAATTCATCTCTGACAGACCCATCTTCAATATATTGGGAAGAGGGTAGAATCGGAGAGAGAGATTGTCCAAAACTTTTTTGCCTCAATTAAGGAAAGGGAAAATCCCCTGTCAGGCTTTGTGCCATCTGTGCTCACATGAGGCAGATTTTCTTTACTTCCTGTCCCGAAAGTGCAATAGGAAGTATCTACTAAGTGACAATCCAATGGAATTGCCCCGTTAGATGATTAACTATACCCATCACCATCATCTTCTGTTTCAGGGATCACTAGGGCAAACAGAGGGTGAATCTCCCCTGCAGGGATGCAGCAATAAAAATCCGATAGGAGTCCAATCACTTTACTTCTCTATACGGAGGGGAGGGGGTGGTCACTTTCCAGCAAGGGGTTGTCACTATGATGAATTTGGCATCCTGTGTAATTAGAATGTACAACTCCAGCAACAGATTGAGACTGTTCATCCTGAATGTGTTTTTTAAGATGGGTTTACATTCTTGACTGTAATGAAATCTTATATCTGCTTCCTTCCAGCTACAAACCAGTGGTTCATTCCAGCAGTCAGAGGGGACATTCCTCCTGGTTGTGCCGCTTATGGATTTGTCTGTGATGGGACTCGGCTACTTGTCTTTGGAGGAATGGTGGAATATGGCAAATACAGCAATGATCTATACGAGCTCCAGGTATGTCAACTTATGTTTTGTGTTTTTTTGCATATCATTTCTGTTGATGAGGTTGCAACATTAAATCCACCAATGGCTTTGTATCCATATCCAGGCTAGCAGATGGGAATGGAAGAGGTTGAAAGCCAAAGCACCGAAAAATGGTCCGCCTCCTTGTCCCCGACTAGGACATAGCTTTTCATTGGTCGGAAGCAAATGCTACCTTTTTGGCGGGTTGGCTAATGACAGTGAGGACCCAAAGAACAATATTCCAAGGTAAATGACAGCATTTGTTCTCCTCTAGTTCCAGGAACTATAGTCTTTTTCTCAATGTACATAAATATATTTATTATGCTTCCTTTTATTAAGGTACCTTAATGACCTTTACATCTTGGAGTTGCGTCCTGGTTCCGGAGTTGTAGCTTGGGACATACCTATAACATACGGTATATTGCCTCCACCTCGGGAGTCCCACACTGCTGTCGTTTACACAGAAAAAGATACAAAGAAGTCTCGCTTGGTGATATATGGCGGTATGAGTGGATGCCGACTTGGGGATCTCTGGATTTTAGATATAGGTAAGAGGCTAGAAGTTTTTCTATTAAATTGATTCACTTGAGTCAATATTCATATTAAAAGGGAACTTACAATGTCGGTACAACGGTCATGTGTGTTGTCCAGAATTTTCCATGTGTGAGGTCTGCATTAAAAAAAAAGGGGTTATAGCCCTTCCCTACCCTCAGGTTACTCTTTTGCTGTCTGTGTCCTTGAGAGAGTTCACTTCCTGTCCTGAAGACGCAACAGGAAGTGGGAGGAAATCTTTCCAAGATAGGAATTCTGCTCAGAGGAATTTCCCTTACCTGCTCTGGTGACGACTTAAAATTCTTGGATTCCCTCTCACTTTTTGTGTAGGGAATATTGGTCAAATGGAGGGGTGAATCTTCCCCACAACTGACCAGCAGTAAAAGCTTGACAAACGGTTTATCCCTACCCTACCCAAAACATAAAGGTGCAGTCCATCTTTTGGCCCATGTTTCACATTACATCCACATTTATGGTGGAACATGGTTACATACGCCATCCCCTACACTCCCATCTCTCTATATGAGCTAATTTTTACATCTGGCTACTTTTTAAAGTATTATAAAGTGTAACTTCAGCTGCAATACTTTCTCAGTTAACGCTGGAGGACAGCAAGTGTGGGTTGTTTTACCCAGCGGACATATAGATTTCAATTTTAACCAAGGTTCTAACTCCATTGTGGTGCCTGTCACCGCCAACCCACCCTCACTTAATCTCGAATGAAGTTTTTATTTTAAAAATCCATTTTGTTAGGAGTGCAATATACTTGCATTAGTGGAATGGACCAAGCAAAGCATGCAACCAGTGATGTCAAGACTCCAGATATGCACACTTGGTCTAGGTCACTGACACATTAGTGATATCAGGATGACTACCCCAGGATCTGCATTTTAATGGAAAAAAATTACTGAAATGAACATTTGGTCTACTATTGCTAACCACATTTTGAATATGATGGCTGCCTCTGCTTTCAATGCTTTAATGTGATTTTTGGCAGAAGCATTCAAGTGAATTTGGACCAAAAAACATTGTGCCTTGTCTGCATGGTTCATGTCAGGGACTGTGTATTGACACCATTAAGGCTGTGACGCACTGCACGCGAGGTAGCGTCATGTAATTTTCTCTCCAGCACGTCCGCTTGCGAGAGCTCGCATAGCTGAGCAGGCCGAGATGAAAAATTTCATCTTCAGCCAATCGGCTTGCGTGTATAAACCCGCAACGCCTGGCTGGTTGTTACGCACGAGCCGATTGGCTGAAGGGGCAGTCAATCATCTGCTTGCACTGAGCTCACACACTGCACGCAAAGCTCCGTGCCGGACAGCTTTGCTTCGCTCTGCACGGCTTTGCATGCAGTGTGTCACAGGCTTTAGACCACCAGGCAACCCTTTTCAAATAGAAGTCAGCAATGTCTGTGGACATTTCATTCTGCTTTCCAAAAGAAACTCTAAACAGACTCTTGGTGCCTGTAGCTCACGTCAATGATTTAATTTCTGGTAGATATTAGACTTATCTTAAGACATTTCCATATTCTTTGTTTTAGACTCGCTGACTTGGAGTAAGCCGAGTCTTAATGGTGTTGCACCTCTTCCTCGAAGTCTTCACTCAGCCACAACCATAAGCAACAAGTAAGCCTTTGTGTTTCTTTCATCCTTCATCACGGATCTCCTTCATAAAATTGTTTAATGTCTTTTTAATTCTATTTTTTTTTTTATTAATTTCAGAATGTATGTCTTTGGAGGCTGGGTGCCTTTGGTTATGGACGATGTTAAAGTAGCCACCCACGAGAAGGAATGGAAATGTACAAACACCCTGGCTTGTCTTAACCTTGGTAAGTCGTGTGCTGCTCTAAGATTAGGCACCGTGGCCCTATTTATACCAAATGTGTGCAGTGACTCATCTACTTTTGATTGCAGACACCATGTTATGGGAACATATTGTCATGGATACCCTGGAAGATAACATTCCACGGGCTCGTGCTGGCCACTGTGCTGTGGCAATCAATACACGTCTGTACATATGGAGTGGCCGTGATGGCTATCGTAAAGCCTGGAACAACCAAGTGTGCTGCAAGGACCTGTGGTACCTGGAAACAGGTGGGTGTTGTGGACTCTGGTGTTGAATGCTGTCAAATGGACTTCTGTGCCCTGTCATTGGCTGGGTTTATTAGATTTTCTGGAGGATTATGGGTCTTTAGACAAGCTAGAAAGAGCATATCTCCTTGGAGAATAAGATGCCACCATTTTACCTTTCATAAAGAGCATACGAGTGAAGAAAAGTATGAAACTTTGAGTTGGACATCGCTGACTATTTATGCCAAGGAGGTGCTGAAGCAGGACAGATTCACTGAGGGCCCAGTCACACCATAAAGAGTGCATTCCAGAGCTTTCGGCCTCTGGAATGCAACCTGGCCGGCTCACTTTGTTTTGGGGCGGGAGGAGATGTGATGGTGCATTGCAGCCACGCCTGCAGTGCGATCGCCGGCACCAGAATGCATGGCACATTCGTGCCAGCGTTCTGGTCCAGGGCGATCTACATAAAATGCTGCATGCACTACTTTTTGCAGATCGCACTGGACAAACGCATGCACGAATGTGCCACGCGTTCAGTTCATGCCACGCGTTGACTTCAGTACGTCTCCTCCCGCCCCAAAAGGAGGCTGAACGCTCTGGAACGCGCTCTTTATGGTGTGATTGGGCCCTAAATTTATTGGCATTGTCAAATGTCTTGCCCAATTTTCTTTTGCCATCCCAAAATGGAGCCTGTAAAGAACCTACATTTTTGGGATGCAGGGCACCTCAGATTATAAAATGGCTACTAGTATTTGTAGCATATCCGCAGTTTTTTTTTTACTCTACTTTTTGTAGTTTTGGTGTTTGTAGCATTAGATACTGAATATTATATACAGCCCTTTGAAATCAATGGCCACAGCGAGGCCCCTTAAGCCTGGTAACTTGACAACCGCTGACTTAGAGGAAATCAGATTCCCTCCTGTAAATAGTTTTTCTTCAGTTTCAAATTCTTCTGCAGTCAAAATGAAATATGTGGCTGGTTGGTGAATTTGCAATGTATAATTCTCTCCATAAAGGGAAACCATTGGCCAAGCCTGTCTTTGCAGCCTCCGGCATGAGTAATAAGATTGTGCTCTTTTCAAGACTTCTTTTTTTTTTTTCCTGGGTTGCAAGCTTTAACTTGTTACTTTTGCCTCTTTCACAGAAAAACCTCCTGCACCTGCACGTGTTCAACTAGTCCGAGCAAATACCAATTCTCTGGAGGTGAGCTGGGGAACAGTGTCCACTGCAGACAGTTATTTGTTGCAGCTTCAGAAGTATGATATACCGGCTGCTGCTGCAGCCATGTCGCCAGCCAATCCAGTTCCGTCTGTGCCAGTGAATCCGCCCAAGAGCCCGGCTCCTGCAGCAGCGGCTCCTGCAGTCCAACCTATTGCCCACACAGGCATCACCCTAATTCCGCAGGCGGCTTCTTTACCTCCAACAACAGCTACTATACAGGTCTTGCCTACGATCCCTGGGAGTCCAATTGCAGTTTCCGCTCCACGTCCTCAGCGTAGGTCTTCTGCTGGTTTTATATTTTTTATTTTGTTATCTTCACCCTTGTTCAGGTTCTGACAATGTGCCAATTTCTTTTAGCTGTCCTGAAAGTTCAAGCACCTCAGTCCACAGTAGGCTCGCCGCTTGTTACCGTTCGGCCTGCTACACAAATTGGAAAAGCTCCATTAACAGTTACCTCTCTCCCTCCTGGTGTGCGCATGGTAATGCCTACCCAAAGCACTCAAGGCACTGTAAGTGTTTCATTGTGGCATAAAGTAGTTATCATCAAGCAGTGTTGCTGTATTTTCTGTAGTACAACTGTTCTCAACACAAATGTATAGATTCCCTCCTAATCTGATTGCTGTGTGTTAAAGTTTTTTTTCTAAGTAGGTGTATTAAATTGGTATTTGCCTTGCAGGCTATTGGCAGCAGTCAACCAATGAGTGGCATGGCTGCCCTTGCTGCAGCTGCTGCTGCTACACAGAAGATCCCTCCTTCCTCCACAGTACTGAGTATGCCCCCTGGAACCACTATGGTGAAATCTGTTGCAATGTCATCCGCTGCTACCACTCTTCCTACATCAATGAAAGTGGCAACTTCTCCAATAATGGTAAGGAGCTAGACTTTTAGTTTTTGCTTGTGATGTTACAGAACGTAAAATGTAGGGATGCACAGAAACCGTTTTTTCGGTATCTAGTATGAGTACCGATATTTACATTGTGATACTCGCCAATAACGAGTACCAGTACTTCCAGTAGCATGGAGCCGGCTCCCCTGGGAGGCAGGTCATTACCTGCTGCCCAACTTCCTGATTGGCTGGGAAGCCGGCTCCATGCTGTTTGGCAGCCACGATGATGATTGGTCAGAATGTTGGCTTCCCAGCCAGTCAGTATGGGGGCGGGTCATTCCCCCGGCCCGGCTTCCTGATTGGGCTGGGAAGCTGGCTCCGTGTTCCCTTGCGGCACTGCCGGTCAGAGGAAATATCAGATACCAGAACTTCCGGTAGTATCGGAGCATTTGTAATCTTACTCGGTATCGGTGCATCCCTGATAAAATGTCCTGGTTTATTTGGAATCCTGCACCTAGGGTTTGTGTATATGGTCTTTTGAACAGATAAGGTGCTTACAGAATTAATAAATCCAGACTTGGCTTCATATATTTTCTGTTCACAGGTCAGTAACCCGGCCACACGCATGCTGAAAACTGCTGCAGCGCAAGTGGGAACTTCAGTGTCGTCTGCTGGCAACACACCTAATCGTCCTATTATCACTGTGCATAAATCTGGAACTGTGACAGTCGCCCAACAAGCCCAGGTTGTAACAACAGTAGTTGGAGGTGTCACAAAGACCATCACCTTGGTGAAAAGCCCAATTTCGGTCCCTGGTGGCAGCACTTTGGTAGGTTGGGTCTCTGGCTTTTAGCGTTCTCGGCAATTCATCGCTGTTGGCCGTTGCTTGTTCATATAATGTTTGCTTTTCTCTTTCAGCTTTCAAATATTGGTAAAATGATGTCTGTCGTCCAGACCAAGCCAGTGCAAACATCTGCAATAACAGGACAGGCTTCATCGGGGCCCCTTACACAGATTCTACAGGTGATTGGTGGGAATCCATTTATTTAGGGAAAAGGATTGATTCCAATGGCAGAGATGTGTAGGCTTCTGTTACTGAACTTGCTGAAAATACAATTTGCTTTGTCCAGGCATGGTGCCAATGCTAGAGTCTGACCTGGGGACAAATGTATGTGCATTTAGAAGGTTAAAATTAATTTATTGGTTATTGACACACTATTGGGCATTGCCAGGCACCTAGCATTTTCTAATGGTGGCACGAAATTGCAGTGAATTGTTGCCTTCAGTACCGTTTTAATGTTTCCCTTTCATGCTTTGTTAATATAAGACTTTGTGTGTTCATTGTAAGCCTGCATGGTTTGGATTTAGACCTCATTGTAATCTGTTTCCTTCATCCATGTGCAGACCAAGGGACCTCTTCCTGCCGGAACAATATTAAAGTTGGTGACCTCGGCAGATGGTAAACCCACAACTATAATCACCACCTCGCAGGCTGGAGGCACGGGAACCAAGCCTACAATTCTGGGCATCAGCAGTGTATCTCCAAATACCACCAAGCCAGGGACTACCACCATTATCAAAACGATCCCTATGTCAGCCATCATCACTCAGGCAGGGGCCACAGGTATGCTATCACGTTTCCTTGTAATTCTAGCTCAGCAGGACACACTTCACTTTACATTAATTTCTTAGTTGGCAAGGAACAAAGTGATTGACTGTCCATGATAGAAGTAGCAAATGGGTTCAATTTCATGGCTGCTGAAAAGGTCACTTGGCTTCATTTCCTTTAGTCCTTGTGCGGTATTTATCCTTGGGGTGGGGGGATATCATCAGTTCATAAAGATGTCATGAAGGATTTTTTTCTGCAGGGCATCTTTATTATTATACAGGATTTATATTGCGCCAACAGTTTGTGCAGCGCTTTACAATAGTAGCTCTGGATAGGTAGAGCCTGCTGTCAATCCTGCAGCTGGGTGGATCCAGACAGCATTGTCGGGATCCGTTCCCTTAAAGGCTGTAGCTCGCGGTATACTGAGCTTTGGGTGACGGGAGGACGCTAGTTTGTGTCCTCCCCGTTACCTTAGGAGAACTATGGGGAAAAGCACTGGCCCCCATAGTTCTCCTTTTAAGCGATTGCCTAAAAGCAGAGTGGGAGATAGATGAACAGGTTGGGGTAAAGAGTTCCGAAGAATGGGGAGAGTTATTGGAAGCCAGTGCAGGGATCGACAGAGGGGGGGTTGCAGACACTGAGCGGTTGGTTAGATGAATGAGTCTAGCAGCTGCATTCATGATAGACTGAAAGAGGGAGGAGCCTGTGTAGAGGTCGACCAATGAGGAGGGTGTTGCAATAGTCAAGAGAGAACAAAGGAGTGAATGAGTCACTTTGTGGTTTCATTGGTGAGGAAGGGGCGTATTTTTGAGATGTTACGAAGGTGAAGGCGGCAAGATTTGGATAGGGATTGGATGTGGGGAAGAAAGGTGAGGTCCGAGTCAATGATGACACCTAGCACCCTGGCATGGGGGGGTGGATAGTTATCAATCACAAGGGAAAAGTTGGGGGAAGGTGCACGGGCGGGAGGAAATATCACGCTCACTTTTTGAAAGGTTGGGTCTTAAGAAGTGTTGTGACATCCAGACGGATATGTCAGTGGATTAGTGACAAGGACACGGGGGGTGTGGAGTAGAAAGATTTGAGTGTCATTGGCATAGAGATGGGTATTGGAAGACATGTGAGGTGATTAACTGACCAAGAGAAGAGGTGTAGCTGGAGAAGAGAAGGGGTCTGAGGACAGAGCCTTGGGGGACTCCTACAGAAGGAGGAAGAGGAGGGGAGGATGTAGGTTTGTAGGTGACACTAAGACCCCGTTCACATTGAGCGATTTATCGCGCGGTAATTCCCGCGCTATCGCGCTCCAATGCACTCCAATGGGGCAAAGGGTCCTGCTGTCGCGGGTTGTGTGTCGCTACAGCAGGACCCTTTTTGGAGCGGATTTAGCCGCGATTCAAGCTTGCTCAATGCAAGCTTGAACGCGACATCGCGCGGCAAATCTCACGATGTCGCGCAATATGCAAATCGCGTGACAAACGCGCAATTTGCATATCACGCAGTGGGAACGGGGCCTTAAGGAGCGCTTAGATAGGTAAGAGGAGAACCATGAGAGAGCAGAGTCTTGTAGGCCAAGCTAGTGGAGTTTGTAGAGGAGGATCAGGTGGTCAACAGTCTCAAAAGCAGCAGAAAGGAGTAGTGGCCATTGAGTTTTAGGAGGGCTGTTTCAGTGGAGTGTACGGGGCAAAAGCTGGACTGTAGGGTCCAGACATTTTATCGGAGGTGGCGGCTATAGATGAGACGTTCTAGTAGTTTGGTGGTGGATGGGAGTAAGGAGATCTGAGATTGAGGTTGGTAGGGTGCAGTGAGAGCTTTATTCAGTTGCATTAGAAATGTATAATTGTATATTATATATTGATGTTCTTCTATGCTTCTTATAGCGGGTGTTACAAGTACCGCAGGGATGAAGTCACCAATTACGATCTTCACAACTAAAATGGTAACTTCAGGCACAGGAACACCAGCCAAAATAATAACTGCAGTTCCCAAGCTTACAGGCCATGGACAGCAGGGTTTAACCCAGGTATGTAGGTGCATTACTCAACAAGTGTCTTAACTGTTAAGATTGACTTTTTTATTTTATCTATTTTTATTTTAATCTTGCCCTCTGATAGGTGCTGTTAAAGGGTGCTCCTGGCCAGCCTGGTACATTTCTCAGAACTGTTCCCATGGGCGGTATGAGACTCGTCACTCCAGTGTCAGTTTCTGCGGTTAAACCAACAGTAACGACTCTTGTGGTGAAAGGAACCACAGGTAAGTGCTTTATACGAAATGCATATCACACAATATAAGGGCAGTAGGGTGTAGATTCCTCACAACAGTTTTCAATAACACTGCAAATTGTTGGACTGTCTGTGATTTGCTTGAGTTATTGCAGGGTTCTAATGTAATTTTTTTTATGTTGTCACCATTTTAGAAGCTTGTTGCCTTCTGGGTTTGCTTTAGATTAGAACGGAGCCTTTGGTGTCACAATGCTAGTACCACCAAATATCTACTTTTAAGCTACTGTCTTCATAGGCAGTGCATTGTTGGTCAGCGGACCCACAGACTTGTGAGTAGCAGCAGTAGAAGCACAGCCAGTGCTGCATAGGATTAAGCGGAGCCTGCATATGTGTGGAGCAAGTGTCTATATAAAATTTGTATCTATTTTGCAAAATATTTATAGACGCAAGGCGTCTTTTAATGAAAACATTACATGTATTTGTAAGTTGATTTACATCTAGCAAATCTATCTGATGCATGTTGATCTTGGCTTGCACTCAAAGATAGTGGCTTGGAAGTGTATTTGAAAGCTGTTTGTCGATATTGGAATACACTATGACTGGTCCTAACAGAAATCCCTAAAATTTAATTTTGTGTAAATGTGTGTTGGTTACCAAGTATTTTTTTTTTTCCTCTCCTTTTGTACTTAGGAATGACCACTCTTGGCACAGTCACTGGAACAGTTTCCACAAGTCTGGCAGGAGCTGGTGTACACAACACAGCTTCACTTGCAACTCCAATTAATACCTTGGGTACCATCGCCACCCTCTCCAGTCAGGTGATCAATCCTGGTGCCATTACCATGTCTGCCGCACAAACCTCACTTACTGCGGCTTCAGGACTGAGCACTCCCACAATTACTATGCAGGTAAATGTTGCATTTGATTTGTCAAACTATAGTTTACACCTACTCCAGACAAGCAGCTAAGCACATTACATATATGTTTACCACCTTATTTGATTTTGTAATTCTGTTCAGCCACTCTTCCTCTACCAGACAGCATAACCAGGTCCTGGACTGCCTCTGCAGGTAATCACCAGAGTTTGGTCCAGGACATGCCCAACATTGATGGGACAGTGAAGTTACCACAGCTACCCAGTACTGCCTGCTTTACTATTGACCATCAGATGTGACTTATGGCCATCTTGCTGTTTCCTTTAAAGGTGAACTGATATGAGTGATTTCCACTCATCCTCATGGTTAGAGCCGACCCGTGATAAAGAAACTGTCACACGTCGGCTCTATCGATCAGGAAGTGTGCGAACACATAGCGTCGCTTGCAGATCCAGCTGTCACTCACGCAGCTGGGTGGATCTCCACAGTATTGTCAGGATCCGTCCTGGCTGCGGCATTCTCAGTATATGGTGGCCAATAGCCCCCCATATACTGAGCTTTGGGTCAGGAGGAGGTTAGTATATGTCCTCCCGTGACCCTAAAGAGAACTATGGGGGGAAAACGCTTTCCCCATAGTTCTCTTTTTAAGTATCTGGAAAAATGACAAATTTCAATGGCCTGTAGTAAGCTTCATCAGCCTACAGGGGTCACTCATTATTTTTATATAATGCATTGTACTATTAGGTTTTTTTTGTTTTTTGCCATGTACTTTGCTTCTAATTGAGATTATTGGTTTTGTCTTTTTTTTTCTTAGCCAATATCACAGCCTACCCAAGTGACATTAATCACAACTCCCAGTGGTGTGGAAGCTCAGCCAGTCCATGACCTTCCTGTCTCCATTTTGGCTTCACCAACTACAGATCAGCCTACAGCAACTGTTACTATAGCAGATTCTGGCCAAGGAGATCAGCCTCCCGGCACAGTTACCCTTGTATGTTCCAATCCTCCTTGTGAGACTCATGAGACAGGAACCACAAATACTGCCACCACCACCCTTGTGAATCTTGTTCAGCAGCCTGGAGGAACACTTCAGTTTGTGTGTGAAGGCCAGGAACCTGGAACCTATGTAACCACAGCCTTGGGTCAGGCAAACGGTAGTGTGGTCAGAGTTTGTTCCAATCCTCCCTGTGAGACTCACGAAACTGGAACCACACAAACACCAACCACAGCAATGGCGAATATCAGCAGCGAGCAGCTTGGCACAGTAGTGAGAATATGTTCAAACCCTCCGTGTGAGACCCATGAAACTGGAACTACACAGACATCAACCACCGCGATGTCAAATATTGGTAGTGAGCAAGCTGGAAATGGAGTATGTTCTAATCCGCCATGTGAGACGCACGATACTGGCACAACGCCAACATGCACCACAGCCAGAGGAAACTTGGCCAATGAGCAAAATGAGAACTTGCAAAGGCCACAAAATCCACCATGTGAAACTTTACAGACTGTATCTACGTGTACAGTTATGTCTGTGCCTGCCAGCTTTACCAGTGGGCAGTCTGAAAAGGTACGGGTGTGCAGCAATCCACCTTGCGAAATGCACGAAACTTCCACCACCAACACACCAACTGTGGCAACATCTAATCTGGCAACAGAACAGCAGGGCAATGTTACGCCGGTGCCCTCTACTCCTGTATCCGAAACACCTGAAACTAGCAATACCCACACGCCAACCACTGCAAGACTGAACAATGCGCCATGTGAGACCCATCAAACCATTTCTACAAAAACGACCATGTCTGTACACACAGAGTATAGCTCTGGCTCCACCAACCTTTTAGAGGTAGAAAATAGTTCTGGATCTAGCAAAGGTGACCCATCCATTGCTGGATCAGCACAGAAAGTAAGCTCTAAATCTCCATCTGAAACAATGATCACTGGCACTACTCAAACTGCAACCACAGCCAGGTCCAATATCAACTCCGGTACATCTGAGAATAACCATAGATCTGAAGGTGACTCTTGTGAGACCCATCAAGCAAGCTCCACCCGAACCACCATGACTGTTGCAGAAGGCACTCAGGCTGTAAATCCATTGAGTTCTGACCCACCCTGTGAGACTCATGAAACGGGTACAACCAACACCGCAACCACAGCAAGTTCAAGTATTGGAGAGCAGCAAGGGGAAAGTTCCCAGCAGGCCTCCGGTGAAGCGTTGCAGACAGCTACAACATCCACCACAGTGGTATCGACACCGAGCCCTTTAGAACAGCGTGTGTGTTCCAACCCACCGTGTGAAACCCACGATACAACTACTACCAATACAGCAACCACATCTACATCCAACCTTGGGGGTAATCAAGCTCCTGCACAACAAGTCTGTTCAAACCCACCTTGTGAAACCCACGATACAACTACTACCAATACAGCAACCACATCTACATCCAACCTTGGGGGTAATCAAGCTCCTGCACAACAAGTCTGTTCAAACCCACCTTGTGAAACGCATGAAACTGGAACTACCCAAACATCAACCACCGTCACAGCCAACATGGGGGATAATCAAGGTGAGGATTGCTTACACATGGTATTTTGTTTTCTACCCATTGGTTTGCCTTGTATCTCGGTTTTGGGTAGATGACATTGATCGGGTCTTAAGGCAGGGAGAACTAGCTAATGGAAACTTTCAGGCACAAAAGTCTAAAGGTGCCGATTATCGTACAATAATAGCGGGAGATCCCGCGATTGTACGATCATCGGCAGGTGTATGGGCAGCGTGCGACCTCTGCTACTGTAAGGTCGCACGACTTGCGTCTTCCTAGCACGCTGGAAAACCTGCCGAAAATCTTAAGATTTTCGGCAGGTTGCTGGCGTGGTCGGAAGACAAATTCCGCACGGGCCGGTGTGCGCAAGTGCACACTGCCCGCTCAGCGCTGCTATCATTGGAAGCCCTCCCTTCAGCGTGGCGGGCTTGTGATGATAGCCTGTCCAAGATGGGCAGATCGTACATTTTTAAAATTTACCTTACAACCCTTGCAAGACGATGATTAAGGTGCATGGCCAGCTTAAGTTTTCAGAGGGCTTACCATTTATTTATAATCCCTCTTCTTTTTTTTCCATTGATGCCTTCTTTTTAAGATACACGATTTTACTTAACCTCTTCGTGACTGACGACGTACAGTGTACGTCGCCAGCATCGGGGCTGTTTAAACAGACTCCCGGCGACTTTTGCCGCCGGGACTCTGTTTAAACTTGTAGAGCTGACTGTCGGCTTTACAACAGAAGCGATCCTGGCGACTTACCTGTCGCCAGATCGCTTCTGCGTCCCGAAGAAGGGGCCACCCCCCCC